CTAACTGTTTGTTCCAAGTGACGGTTTGGTCCAGGGTGACCCCTAAGTACTTCACTTCGTTGAAAAATGTTAGTTGTGTACCGTTAAGGGTCGGGGCTTTCAAATTTAGCTTCCTTCTTCTTGTGAACGGGACAAGGATTGTTTTGTTTGCGTTTAGGGATAGTCCTTCGCCTTCGCTCCAATTTTTAACGATGTGCTAATGCTAGGCTGTTCAAATTTTCAGGGATTATTGATGTAGGAATGATATTTAAAAATTCGTATAATGCACCCCCATTTTCTACCTAGAACTACCCCAAAAAAAAGAAAATAATTGAAAAAAATTGCTTTTTTTTTCAAATTTTAAGTATTTTTTTTTTTTTTTTTTTGGGATGGTTCCAGGTAGAAAATGGGGGTGCATCATACGAATTTTTAAATATCATACTTACATCAATAATCCCTGGAAATTTGAACAGCCTAGCATTAGCCCTTCAGATGATATGAATGGGGGTTGTTTAAATTTCAACACCCTGTATTTTGGAAATGACGCACTTCCAACCATTGGTGTCCTATCTCAAATTACTTCTCTATGGTTTCTCTATATACCCTAGCATTTTTTACCAGTTGAACGGGGACACCCTGTATAATACAGAATCACCTATTTTGAATGCGCGCTTCCGCTTTATCACGCTATATTTCGAAAACGGTTGGTCGTACAAAAAAATGTATAGGAATAATTTTGTAGAAAATACTATTTCACGTAAGTTTTGTTTTGGGTTCTTCGACGTCAGATGCACTGGAAGCGATTTTCGTGACCTTTGACCTTCGATATCTCAAGAAGCACAAGGTTAGGCATATTCGATTTTTTCGTGCTTCATTAGAACATCAAAACGAAGGTCTCTGCAAAAATTCAGCTTGTTCGGCCTCATTCCGCAGATGGCCCTGTTTTTGGTCTAATTTCCCTGGGGTATAAGTATTTATTGGAGTAGCTAAATTGGGCTAAAAATCATAAATAAATAGCAGTCTGAGCTCGGGAATAGCTACATTCCTGAAACACCCTTTTCCAATTTTTCAAGTTCGTCTGCATTTTTTTCCCTTCAAATAAGAGTATACCTTTCCAAAGTGGCTAGTTTATTACATTGGAAACTGCACCAGAACCGAATCATTACCTTTTATATATGTGGGTATCAACATAAGAAGTTAGGGCTTCGGAATATTTATTTAGTTTTCAGCTTTTTCACTATCTGCTGTAATATCGCCCCAATCTGATAAATCATATTTGGATAAGTCTTCATCATTATCATCTTCGTCATCTTCCTCCTCTTCCTGAGGTTTCTTTTCATCTTCATCATCTTTACTATTATTGCTGGAAGCATAGTTATTAGATCTTTTTTTTTTCTTCCTACCAAATTCATCGAAATCATCATCAGAATCCTCCCTTTCCTTATATTCAACAACCCCTCTATCATTGTAACCACCTCCAAATCCTGTTCTTTCTTCAACTTCCCCAATCTTAGGCGCATTGCAAACGTTACACTGTTGACGACGGGCCCAATTTACATTGCCACATTTGTTACACTGCCAATCATCAGCACTAAAAAGACCCCGGCTTTTTTCTGCAGCAGCTTTGCCTATTTCTGTGCCAAATTTACGTTTATTAGGAACAAATGGGGCTTTCCCTTTTTGGCATCTATTACAAGTGCTCCGCCTTGCAAAATTTAAATTACCACATTCTTCACAGGTCCAATCACCTTCCCCAGAAGGAATCAAAGATTTGGTGGATGCACTGACATCAGCCATCTGAGCTGGAACAAAAGAAATTACTTAATAGTAAAACTAAGGAAATTATAGGCAAAATTGAATGTGTTAATTGATTAGAAAACAAACAATAGCTAAGATTTTCCTTTTTCTCTTTACGTTATTGGCAGAAAATAAAAGTAACTTATAATAACAGATACTTCCTTTAGTAGCACTTTATACCTTTACTAACCCAAAGAGAACACTACACTAATTTTAAAATCACAGATTAGAGGAAGGAAATTGTAAATTTGCGACTCTAAAAAAAAAAATATCAACAAAACAATAGGAATCCCGAATTCGGGACATTCATTTCACTAGTGATCAGTTTAATTCAAACAACTATCACTATCAACAATATCTTACTCACTCACACTCGTAGAACACGAAAAGGCTAGAAAATAATGACGGATTGAAATCACTTAATTGACAATTTTGACATTGACAGAATAAATTGCGACGTTGGTTTCCACCAAGGATAATGCACAATACTACTACAGGATAGCCTATCCTCATAAGGCCCGGGTGGAATAAATCTGAAGCTCCTTACCTCGCCAAATCACCAGTTGTGACGTAGCGAGCATGTCCTTTCTCGCCTAGATGTAGGCTATTTGCACTACAGGTTATGATTCCGCGGGCTTTTGGCTTTTGCTTTATGCATACTTGGTTTTATTACAATAATGGCCGTTTGCACCGACCATTTTGGGAGGTTTACCGATAATCAACGATTAGAGTGACAATTCTATGTGCAAACGGCTATAATTAACATTCTAAAACAACTCTTTTTTTAGATCTCGTTTTCATCTTCCTCTTTGCCTATTATATTAATCAAAATTAAATAATATTTTTCATCATAAATTTAAATTCTAATAAGACCTCTAGTGCAAAAAGCTGACGACTTGTTAATGATGTCGTAAATGGTGACACACCAATATGGCGGCGATTAACAAAAACTACAGTGACTCTATTAAACCACAATGCGGCGACCGACAATTGGTGTCTTATAAGTTATAATTAGGTCTGTTTCTACAGAAATCACAAACCAGTCAGAGCGAACTTCATTGGTTGAAAACAGAAAACTAGTTTCAACCAATGAAATTCACTCTGACTGGTTTGTGATTTCTGCAGAAACAGACCTATTGATTGCAAAAGCTCGCGGAATCATAACCTGTAGTGCAAACAGCCTACGTCAGGGCAAGAAAGCACATAATGCTACGTCACAACTGGTGATTTGGCGTGTTGGGGGGCTTCAGATTTGTTCCGCACTGGCCTTATGAGGATAGGCTATCCTGTTGTAGTAGTATTAGTGTGTATTTCCTTGGGTTGCCGCCGCTAGTCCGTTCGAACGCGAACGCGCTAATGGTTGGTTTATTAAAAAAATTAATACCTCTAAACTAAGAATTAACATTAAACTTAAAAAGTTGAGGTTATGATATGTAATGTAGCGGTTCATAAAAAAAAACGCTGTGCTGCCTGCGTCAGAAATGGTGATTTGGCGTGGTGAGGGGCTTCAGATTTGTTCCACACAGGCCCTATGCGGATAGGCTATTCTGTAGTATTAGTGAGTATTATCCTTGGCACTATACGTACCCGGGATTTTAAGCAAATCCCGGTAAAAAATGTAGTCGTTGGCGGTTTCTGTTTCATCAAAGTTCATTTTAAGTTCAACTTCAACTTAACTCAATTTTTTATGTTTTAACTTGTTTTGTTGATGTAAGTATAGACATAAAGTGATACGAAAGATATTTTTTTTAATTTACATGCCAAACAATATACCTAGTTACAATATTGGCTTTGGGTAAATTAATAAATTCGAAAATAAACTGCTATATGTATAAGTATAAAGTGACATCATCTTTATTTTGTTTAAATTCTCAGGGGTTTTCGGAAACAACAACCCTAGATAGTTTACTATCATCTGATTGCAGATTACTTCTAATCTGTGATGAGTTGTTCGATTGGTTGTTCGACATTTCCGAACGCAAAACATTTGTATAAGGTATCTCGAACCTAAACATAACCTTTATAGTTTGAAAAAATTGATGAAAACATTGATAAACCAACCTAAAATACCAATCAGCTGATAAATAGGTAACGATAAAAACAACGCGGTGTCTAGAATCTAGAATCCCGGTACCGGTAACACATTTTTTGCCCGTAGTTTTGATGACGTCATCCATATGACGCACTTAGTAACCGGGATTTAAGATTTTAGTGAATCCCGGTGTTTTGATTTTGTTTGGCCCACAAGCCCGGAAAAAGTTCATGATCAGTCAGACTCTGCCGTGAAAGCCTTTACTCAATGATAAGTAATCCTTGGTAATGTGTATTATCCTTGACCTAGTGCGTCATATGGGTGACGTCATCAAAACTACCGGTAATAAATGTGTTACCGGTACCGGGATTCTAGACACAGCGTAAAAACAAAATCAAAACACCGGGATTCACTTAAATCTTAAATCCCGGTTCCTAAGTGCGTCATATGGGTGACGTCATCAAAACTACCGGTAATAAATGTTTTACCGGTACCGGGATTCTAGACACAGCGTAAAAAAAACTTAAGAGTTATCAACATCAACTAAGAATTTAAACTAAAGTTCGCCAACTTTGAACTTCCTAAATTAAGAGTTAAATCAAATGCATCTGCTCATGTGCAGGCGACGTCAGCTGTTCATCTCAATACGATTTCAATTTTTATTTTTAAACAAAACAGGGTGCAACGTATTATTTTCAACAGAAACCAAATAAACTCTCCAAATAAACAAAATTAAACCAGAAATTATAACACCAAAATCAGATAAATAAACTCAAATGTAACAAAAGAGCGCATTTGGCATGAAATTTAACTTTTTTTATAAACCCTAGTTGTAAGTTAAATTTCTCGAATTAGTTGACGTGTTAAACTTTTTTAATAAACCCACCATAACCCAGCGTTCAACTAGTCGTTCGAAAATACCGACATTTAATATAGGCCTGTTTCTGCAGAAATCACAAACCAGTCAGAGTGAATTTCATTGGTTGAAACTAGTTTTCTGACTGTTTTCAACCAATGAAATTCGCTCTGACTGGTTTGGGATTTCTGCAGAAACAGATCTTATCATCGCTGTACTGTACTGTGACTGTACGCAATGAACTACTGTACGCGATAAATAGGTCGCGGGTGACGTCATGAAAGTAGAATTCTATTCTACTTGTCGTGATACCAGCTCTGGGTAGTAACGGTTATTTTGTAACCGAAAGTTACTTTTTCAACATCATTCCAGTTCCATCATTTCCTTTTGGCTTTTGTTATTGTTTTGTTTGAATTAGGATTTAAGTAAAGTAGGTATTTATTTTGTAGGAATAATTATTTTAATCGAAATTTTCATTTTAGCTCCAATTCCCTCACTTTAGGTTTTTAGGTACCTACTATCGACCTAATTATAACCGCTATGTTAAGAACATTAGATAGAATAGTTACTTTTGCCGCCAAAAATCGATTTTACTCCAAAATTAACAAGCAAATTGACTATTCTCTTGTCCCTGAACTTACCGAGAGTGATTTTCGAGAAAAACACATTAAAGGATCTGGTCCTGGCGGTTCAAAAATTGCCACAACTTGCAATTGTGTTGAGCTCAAACATATTCCAAGTGGTAATCCGAACTGAAAATAGAATCGAAGATTTATATTAAAGATTCCTTTGTTTAAAGGAATTATCGTCAAATGCCAAGAGACAAGGTACCTGGAAGTCAACCGGAAAAAGGCTCGATCAATTTTGCGAACAAAACTTGACAATCATTTAAATGGGGAGAAAAGTATTGAGGCTCAAATAAAAAGGCTACAACAGAAAAAGAAAGCATTTGATGATAAAAAAAAAGCAGAAAAAAGGGTAATGAAGGAGATATGGAAAGAACAAGAAAAATTGCACTGAAATTTTAGTTAATAGAGATATTTGGTAATAATATTTTCGGCCATTATTTTTTATTCACAGTTTACAGATGTCATATTTGTTAAAGCAAGTGCCATGTCGTCTTGGGTGACAGTTTTTTAAATAATTTTGACTCATCTAACTTGTTTTTTATTTTAAGAAAAAATGTAACATGGAAACCGAAACTAATGCAGCCTGAACATCAATTTTAAAAATTAATTCCCCCATTTAGCAATGAGAGAAGGAGAATATGAAACATTATTGAGAGAAACTGATTATGACAGCCAAGCAGCTAACACAGCAATAAGCCCCAGAAGTCAATTCTAAAATAGTATGGGAATGTCCACAGAAACTCAATGGGTTAGGAAACGAGAACGAAGTTACCTTACTCTGGGTGCCTGAAAACATGGGGTTTGAGAGCAGCGAATGCGCAGACACACTTGCGAGAACGGGAGATTCAAATCCCTTCACTGGTTCAGAACCATTTTGAGGCATCGGAAATGCGCACTTCCAAAGAATCCCCAAAAAGAAAGAGAACCGGCTAAGAAACAAACAATGGTTAGAACAGTCAGAACTACGATAGGCGAAGGATGTTTTAGGCAACTTTAACCAACAAAGATCAGAGCTGCTGGTCAGCTTAGCAAGAAAAGTCTCAACACTCTACCCAAGTTTCCCTCGGGACACTGCAGACTTAAGAAACACCTACGGAAATCGGAGTTGGAAGAAAGCAGTACCTGTACATTTTGTCATTATGTATAGGAGACACCTCACCACCTTCTACTGAAGTGCGATACTGTTACTGGTTTAAGGATGAACAATCTGGGAAGCCCCCTGTATAGGTACACGTTAAAGCATTTGATCTCTGGAACAACTGAATATCCTAAGATTCCTAAAGGACTTAGGGCTAGAGGGGCTCCTTTGAGCAGGAAACCTGATTTAAGCAGCAGAAAGAGGAGTACAATAGATCTACCTAGGTAGCCAGTGCAACTGGCACCTTGAACACATACAATACAATACAACTGATTATTCAGTTCCAGCAAAATCTTTCATTTTTACCTTTCAAAATAATAATGTTAATAATAAATCCAGTGAAAAATTGAGTATATAAATATTGCTAACCTTGAGGGTCATTCAAAAGTTGCGCGGTTGTGTTACACAGAAACGATTCGATCTATTACGTTACAGAGATTATATGTAGTTTCTAGACCTAAATGTAATTATATAAACTCTGTAAATGTATATCAAAAAAAGTTTCAAATAAATTCTGCTTGACACTGAAAGTTCCTTGGCACCAATTACAAAAAATGTGAAAGATATCTAAAGAAGAAATTCTATCGAGGCAGCATCAGAGCTTCTCGGAAATCTAACAATTTATAGAATAGTGAATGCTGAATAATTATGCATTATCCCAACTGCAAGTGTAGGGCTGTTGTCCAAAACTAAAAGCTCAGGTAGGTAATTGTTAAAAATTACATGATGTGACTACAGAATGATTGATAAGCAAATAAATAGTTACATTAGACATTAGACATTATATTACGTAAGGTTATATACATGTTCAAATTTTGTATCTTAATGGTAACAGGTTTATGATATGATTAATAACAAGTATATCCAGCACCTAGATGACTTAACATCCGTATGTGCCATTTGAATTTACCTTATTTGTAAGTAAATAATATATGATAATTATTGTGTATTGTTTGTCAACAGCAAACAACATCACAATATTAATCCTAAAAAAAAGTTCATTTTATTTACAATTGAATACGTTCTCCCAAATGGTACCAAAACTTCACTATCCATCAGAGAAAAACAGAAGGTAATTTGGAATCTATTTTATCAAATTTGAAAAATCAATTTTCTACTTGTAGGGTACTACTTGTACTACGGACAAGATTGTGCCTGTGATCCATATAATGTTGAAGATCAAGCAAGCTGGAAGAGTTCAAAAAAGAGCATGCTATTGAACTTCTTCATTCTTTGACAACCCAGTCTCTAGGAATATTATTAGCGGATCAAGCAAACGTGGTTCCTCCAACCTAGAGGCTTGTTTTACCACCAGATTTTGGGCCAGTAGGAATTTCTAATCACTTTACAAGAAGGCCAAATATAAATATCAACAAAAACCAGGAACAGAAGAGCCATGCATGTTAAATAAGTACCTACCTATACTTACTTATTTTTAGTAGGGAAATGAAAACAATAAACCTCTTCTGGTTCCATGTCGGTCTTTTTAGTGACACTGAAGAAGCTTTAAAAGAGGAGTAGAGATTGCTGGCTATTTATACCGCAATGGCATTATTCGACCACTATGAGTCAAGTCCATTTGAGGTATGCTGAAAGAGTCAGTATTGTGGTCAGACGATCCGCCAGCAAATTTTGTTCGACAAAAATCAATAGTCAATTTTTTAGATTTCAAGCAACTGCAACAACCCCTCTTTATACACCTAAGTGTTCAATGATCTGCAAAATAGTTATTAAGCATGTTAATTTCCACTATAACGGTATGTGTCTTTTTTGAAAATACAAAATTAGGAATTCAATACTAGGTATATTTATTTTGGAGACTTTATCTGTCCTCTCAAAGAATAACTCTTCAAAAATGCGTTTTTATCTTGGTATACACGCAGAAACGAATTTCATGCGCTTTCCAGTCGTTTCAAACTTCAGAAGTGATAAATATAATTTCTAAGACTTTCAGTGCACAAAAAGTTGAAACAATACCTCAAAAAAAATTTAAAATTGCTGTAGTATGGGTCACGAAATCGTTTAGTTGGACATTATCCATCTAAAGGACCCCGCACAAACCTTATGGAAAATGGCCTTCTCTCAAATTTGCTGAATTTTTGAAACTGGTTAGACTTCGATATTCTGATTAAAAGTTAACATTGCGCAAAAATGATTCAGGGTACAGTTTTTGAGTAAATGGGCTTGATAGGAAATGAAAACACATGACACTTATAGTAGGTAGGTGCTCAACGCTATCAATCGATACTAAAATAGCCAAACTAGGAAAACAAAAAAATAATATATCTCGAGTAAAATATACTGATCCTAGACTTCAACATCGCTATTCCACAGTTTTTCAGTATTGGTTGATAGCGTCGAGCACATTACCTATTAAGCTACATACATTTCTAATATCATCTTTTAAGCCCATTTGCTCAAAAAATGTACATTAACTTTCAATCAGAATATCGAAATCTACCCAATGTCAAAAATTCAGCCAAATTGACAGAAAGCCATTTTCCATAAGGTTTGTGCGGAGTCCTTCCACACTATTGGGAAAAAAGTATGCAATCTTTCAACTAATTTTGTCACAAAATGAGACTAAGCTATTGCAGTTCGATCAAAAATTAAAGAATCAGATCAGGGTACCTTGTGCTGCAAAGGAAAAAAAAATATATTTTTAATCTTCATAGATATTTTATTTGGTAAATCGAAAAAGATTTGCTAAAACAAGACAATACTTCTTATTCAATGTATTATTAAATAACTAACAAAATATCTACAGAGTAATGAATTTGATTTTATGACTAGAAAAAACATATTTTAGTACATTCTTGCTCTGATTCTACATTCTGCCATTGAAAGTTCTAAATACATTTCCAATATATCCGAGCAAATCAAAATAGGCAAGAAATGCCTAATTCTTAGAAGTTGCGATAGATGTTCAGAAATACATTTATTACAAAATTTCAGGACAAAAGAGAGTCTAGAGCTCTAAATGATATATTTAAACCCCCACACCGTCTTAAAAACAATGGCAAAACTTATTTGAAAAAAAAAAAACTAGTTATACAAAATCAAACAAAAGCTGTTAGATCATTGCACACTTGTTTGTTTTGCAATATTTTCCAATAAATATTTTCTCTATACATTCGTAGACTTAACTACGTAAGCATAAGGATTTGTACATATTATCTTATATAACAAAAAACACTGTTCATAACAGAGTACATAGGTAATGATATACAATAATTAACAAAATTTAACGGTCAAAGGTATTTTTTGGCTTTGATCTCACAATTATGAACTTTGTTCTTGCTATTGCAAGGTCTGCTATAAAAAGCTGCAAACATTTTTGATGAAGATGACTGCGGATTGGCGTTTTTGTAAAGGCGCTTGTGAGAATTCAATTAGAATATCGTAAATATTTCATCTAAATCTTTTGGAAACTCACATAAAGTTAATCTTGTTTTGGTCTTATTTGCAAGAAAATTATTTATTTTTCAGAATTGCGACCAGAGGTGCTGATTTTTCTACAAATTGCTTTCAGCGGAAAACATTAAGAAAGATAACAGAATATAGGAAGTCATTCTGCATCATATCTTGGGATAGAAGTTCTTAAACTAATAAATGTTATTGTATATCTTTAAATGTATACGAGCACTAACCCAATCTGAATCAGTAACTGGAGAATACAAATACCTTCGGGAGCTCTGGACTCATCTGAACCATGCATATAACATATTCTCTACAAGTTAGGACAGTTTTAATACAGTGGCTGTCCTACCCTGATTTCTACAATTATATGGCGTTTGACAATGCAGGCATCCTTGCTAAATTAAAGATTTGTTCTAATTAACTTTTTCATAGAAAAGATTTATTGGCTTTTTTTTTGTATCTATATACGATATTTTTCATAAAAGTGTTTGATTCTCCAATAGATTTTTGTACTTGTTCCAGCAATCTTTTCAGGTCAATAAAAAATTAGGCATGTTAATTATGAAAAATTACAAAATGTTTTTACACAAAACTTCTACACACTTCAAATAAACATTGAGGACAAAGTGTCTGGCATCGGCAGTTTAAGTCTGGCTCAAGAATGATAATTCTAACACTTCTGGGTAAGATTGACATATAAAATACATACTAATTTGTAAACATTTTAAAGATGAAAAATTACTTATTTTAGATAATAAGTGATTTTTCTTGGATTAATAGTTTTGCGACATGCGAGTTCTACTGCCAAGTTTCATAACATTCTTGCAGGGACAAATTAGCTGGTTCTCTTCTTTAGAAGATTTCAAGTTGTATTTTTTTCAATTACATTTGTACGGAAAGACATCATCATACGCCATATAATGAAATGTTAGAGTCACTCACAGGCTTAAAATTATTTAGCAAATTATGATTCAATTACCGTTTAATTTCTCTATTGCAATTTTTAGAAAAGTTGCCTATCCTATTTTTTTATTATTCTAATATAATAAGAATCACAAGGAAATCAAATTCAATAATATCCATTACTTAACACACATTTAAAAACCTTAAAAAAACAATCTTTGGCAGCTTCTAGTGATGTCATTATTTTTCTGTGTCGCAGCCCACCTTACCAGCCTTTTTTTCTCTTTTTCAGCGATGTTTTGGCTTGTACCTCTCGTCTTGCATATCAATAATTTCAGTCTTTCTTAGAAAATGACAATCATCGATCGCAAAGCTGAAAACGAATGTATGTAGATATATTTTGACTGCATACCACCTGAGAATAAATCTACCTGTAAATTAAAAGCACCAAAGGCGCAGTCGCCAAATGCCATAAAGAATGATAGTCAAATACATAAAATATTGGAGGTTGGTCCACTAGCTCTAACAGAAGGATCAGTCCAGTCAGAGCTACAAACATGGCACATTTCCATACATATGGTTGTCTGTATCGATAGATTACTGACCAGATGAACCAACACAGTGCAGTTATTGTACCTATATCAATTTGAATATAAATCTAATGTATTTTATGTGCTGATATATTCAACTTACCAACAATGATATTAATTTGCATATTATACTCATAATCAAATTGCCCCATACTCAGATAGGCAGTATGATTAGCAAATAATGCTAAAAATAACACAGTAATCACTATGAAAAAGAAGCGGGGCATTATGTACCTTAAAACCCTGAAAATCCATTAAAACATTACTATTTGTTGTTTCAATGTAATTTTTACTCACCTACCTGAACATCATTACATAACAATTAATTAAAACTATAGAAAAAGCACAAGCGTAGTCCAATAATTCCGTTAAAGGAAAGTCACGGGCATGGAATATTGCTGACCAAGCCCAAGCGTGAGAGCATATCTGTTATAATTATAAATAATAAATTAGAACATTCACAAGTTTTTTTGTTAAAAATTCTTACCATACAATACACAAACCATAGCCAATACAGGGGACTATCCGATCTCACTCGCCTATGGAATATTTTGATCATTTTTAAATGATTATAAAGATTTAATAAGGAAAATACTACAGAAGCTGGTTCTTGAATTCCTAATATTCTTACAAATGGCCACTAAAAAAAGGTCAGAATGTTTTGTCAGATAATTATCTACCACAAATATAGGTAGGTACTCACTTTCCCATAAAACTGCGGAGTTTTCCATTTTCTTTCATGAAACGAATCCACTGTTGCCCACATACAGTTATATTTGCACTCATCCTCGCATGACCAAGCCATCAATTTCAAATATGTGGGTTGTTGGAAGTTTCCCACAAAATTCGCCCCATCTAAAGTTAGAAAAAAAAATTATAAGTATATGGGTCATTATTAGGAACAAGAAAAAAATCTAGCTGTTGTTGCATGTTGGTTTCATAGAACAAATTATGGAATGAACTCGCCTTTGAACCGAATGGCTAGTTCATTGAATAGATTGGATATTGATATCGACAGTTGAAAGGAGAAATGGCTAATACGCCACTTTGGCCGAAATTGAGTTATTTATACCACCGGAATCAGCTGATTTTTCTGCATCGATCTATGTATGTTTGAACGCAATAAACTAGTGTTTTGGTGTATTAAACAATTTCGTTGTTTCATTGTTCATATCTCTGTCATGAAACAGTGATTAGATAAGTTTCCATGAAGCTCTTAATATATTTCAGCTATACATGAAACTGTAGGAAAGTTTGTCATGAAACAATAGTAAGGTCAAAATGTATAATTTTTTTTATTCATAATACGTTTTTATTGGAAAGTTTGAAACTCCATATTGCTTGTAAGCTATTCTGGCTTTCATCAATATTTATATTTATCCTGTTCGCATTTTGAAACAGTATTGTATAACACGCCACTTACTTTGAAAACTATTCCAAGTTCGTTCATGAAATATATCTGTAAAGAAGGAGGCACGATTTACATTGAAAATAGGCCCCCGTAAATTTTACCCAAATCTCAATATTTTAAAGGTATCATCATTGCAAAAGAAAATTTTAAATATAAAGAGGATCGTATGTCTGTGATAGCAGATATAGCTTGTCAAAGTACGTTGGTCCTGGCTATGCTATGCATAGGAAATATCTGAGGAAATAATCCTACGCAGATTTTCTTGAATATTTCGAAAAATACTAATCCAATTTTGACGGTTTTGGGGTCCTTTTGTAGGTATCAAACCCCAAAAACGTCAAAATCGGATTAGTATTTTTCGAGATATTCAAGAAAATCTACGTAGGGATATTTCCTCGGACATTTCCTATGCATACCATAGCAGGACCTACGTACTTTGACAAGCTATATCTGCTATCACAGACATACGATCCTCTTTACATTTCAATTTTTTTTTTGCAATGATGATACCTTCAAAATATTGAAATTTGGTTGAATTTCACGGGGGCCTATTTTCAATGTAAATCGTGCCTCCTTCTTTGGGGAATTAAAAACGAATTTGAATGGCGAAAAAAAAACTAAACTAGGCTAGGTTTAGGGTACTGAAGTAAGTTGTGATCACAATATGTTTGTGCAGTTGACTGATGCATATAAGGTAAATGAAATCATACTGGAACTTGAACGGCACTCTGCACTAGGCCATGATAAGATTACTACAAATGATGTTCATACGCAAATGGAACATATTCTAGATATCTTAGTAAGACTAATAAACAATGTTATGACTACTGGAATATACCTACAAGAACTAAAAATGAGTAAAACACTCGGTAAAACAACTTCTATCTATAGATCTAGTATTAAAGACACCATGGCCAACTGCAGACCAATATCTGTCATTAGTATTTTTTCAAAGATTCTGGAAATAATTAATTATCAACAGGATGATATCATCGAGGATATCATCAAGGATATCATTTTAAAAAAAATACAATTTGGTGGACAATTTCAGTATGATTTCCTAGAAAGCAGTAGCGCCCTAAGTGCGACTGTTGAGTTTGTGGATCGTAACAAAGGCTGTGGATTAGGGGCAGCTATTAACTGTAGTTTTTGTTGAACTGCAAAAAGCATTTGATGTTGTCAGTCATAGTTTGTTGATGAAGAAATTAGAAGGCATGTGCTCCAGGGGTGTCATTCTTGGGTTGATACAAACCTATTTGCATAAAAGGGATCAGTATGTGCTGGAGACTGGTGCATGTGGAGCTCCACTTCTGTGATACTCTATGTGCTTAACCCCGGTGTGCAAATCTCTTAGCGAGATACTTTATTTTGCTGATAATACAGTGCTTGTTCTCTTGTTGATGCAGGAGCTGATGAAAAGATTACTCAAAAAGTGAATGACCACCTAAGAAAAAAATGATTGGATGCTTTCCAACAAATTAAAAATTAATGTAGATAGGAGGGAATATAATAATATGGTGTTTAAACAGGAAACAAATATTGTAGTTAATATTGATATTGATATAAATAATGTAAATATAGAGAAAGCACCTATATAAAATAAAATATTTACGCTTAATCATAAGTGAGAAATTGAATCGGAGGGAGCAAAATTTTACCTATGATCTCAGCAGTGTCGGAATTATTTAATGAAAAAAAGAAAAATTAATGTTTATAATGCATTTTTCCTGTCACATTATAAGGTAGTTGATCCCTGTTTGAGGGATCTGTGGTGAGGTATGTTTCAATAAGACACAAATTTTGCAAAATTAGAAGCATTTTTCGAGGTACTTTTTAACTATGATAGGCTTACTAATACGGACTACTCATATAGCGATATAGGTGTAAGAAAGTTAACCTAGATGTTTTATTCAAACAAGAGCAATGTGAATTAATGTTGAATATAATAAATAATGACCAAAAAAAAATGTGGGCAACCTTCACATATCATCCAATAGAATATACCTACAAAAGCTATGCCAGAGCTAATTTAGGACTAAATAATCTAGTGGCTCATGCATCTGGAGTCTTTAATAGACTGCTATATTAGAAATACAAGTGAGTATCATAGGTTTAAGAAAGCAGTAAAAATGTATTGAGGTGTAAGTATAAACGGTAATTATTGACTGTATCCTTTTGTAATAGAGCAAGGTTTTTTTTTTGGAAAAGTCGGTCAGTCAGGAAGTTAAAAACTCACTTTATTCTTGAAAAAAAACCTCGATATTTGGACATTTATTTATGTCTTCATGGGGAGAATCAAAGCTACAAAAAATAAAACAGAAATATTGATTGCCCTGCCTGAGTCATAAAAGTATACAAGTTATGTTGTTATGTGCTATGTGTATGTTAGTTACAATTAGAGTTATTCCTAAAAAATGCTGTACTTAATTAATAGAAACATCAAAAACAAAAATATTAAGTGAACAAATACTAGACTAATATACAGTGTGTCCACTTAAGTTCTCAGCATATGGGAAACTTTTTAATTATCAATTTTACCAAAAAAGTTATTCTTTATAAAAGTTTCTGCTTCTTGAAAAAATAGTATTAAACTACTAAAACTTGAAATAACATGTACAGGGTGGCCAGAAAAAAGAAAAATATACAGGGTTTTTTGGTAAAAGCTCAGGTACAAGTAAAAAAAATGGCACGTCACTATTTTTTTAAATCTTTGATATTTTTTTCAGATTAAGCAAGTCATATTACAGTCGAAAGATACGTTTCGTTATCACAAACAAACCTCCCAAATTTGAAAAAAAATAAAAAAATTCTAAAACTTTGACACCCTGTATCTCAGAAACTACGCATTTCCGAAACACATGTTTATCGGAACTTTTTTTCTTAAAATATTGTAAGGAATCGCATCCCGAAGTTACGAACCGTCCGTCCTTAGGAAACACCTGTATATGTTTCTATTTTTTGACCACTCCGTACATGCTATTTCAAGTTTTCATAGTTTAATAGTATTTTTTCAAGAAGCAGAAACTTTTATAGACATAACTTTTTTTCGTAAAATTGATAATAAAAAAGTTTTCCATATGCTGCGAACTTAAGTGGACACACTGTATATGATGAGACACAATTTGAACAGACATTAATTTTATAATTATTAGTTAGAAAAACTGAGAGAAAAATAACCAAAATATCCTATGTCTAGCGGGCTATTAAATAATCTGATCCTCTTCAATAGAATTTTGACTGGAAATTTGGAACAATTGAGTAAAAATACAGAGAAAAACGCCAAACAAGAAACAAACATGACAAACTGTACATCATGAAAGAAACTTTTAATTTGAAACATTACAGTAAATAGCGAGGGGTATGTCACTGGCCACAATATATGTACAAATTTCGGTATAGTATTGCAGCAGTAATTTCTCAATAGCTCAAAATCCCTTGCAATAAAATGCAATAGTTCACAATACTTTGAGTAGTCTACAGTCTACAATAATTCGCAATGTTCCACAATACTCTTGCAATTGTTTACAATACTCTTACAATAGCCAACAATACTCTCACAATAGTTGACAATATTATTACAATAATTTAAAATACTATCACAATAGCTTGCGATAGGTTTGCAGTAGTTCTTCACTTTAATTTTTATGCTCTTGACTCTTGTTGATGAAAATCTTTGAGATTATCTCTAGGATTGTTGTGTTCTAGTGTATGGTTTTATCGAGGGTTTTATTATATTTGATAAGGGATTTGGAAAATTTTTGAGGATTTTAATTTTTGTTGCACTTTATTATAACTTCAACTTACGAGTGTAGGAGAATAGAACAACTGTAAAATATAAGGGCGGGATTATCTTCTCCTCTGGGCTTTTAATCTTAAAACAGGGGAGCAGCGTTTCCAGTAGAATGAGTGTTCCGTCTTTGTTACTCATTCTCCTGCTTCCCTGTTTCAAGAATGAGGACCCTGTTCTATCGCTCCTTTCTACAGTCCCTCTTTTTAGTCTCGTGTTTGCGTCGCTGTTCTTCAGATGTTAGGTTAGGAATAGACAATATCCGAGATTATACAGTTAACTGTTTTGACAGACATACTATCCCATAAACAATAATTAACTCTGAACTTTACGCCAATTTCAACAAAGATGAACTCAATTCGACTGACTCATCAGAGGCTATTCAGGAAGAACTGATAATGACATTGTGATAGCAGAGAAAGAACCAGAGGAGCTCAACTCTCTTAAAAATTAAATGAACAGGGTAGCTTTTAATGTTAAAGATTAGAATTCTTAGGTAACAGATATGAACAATGAGAGGTTTTTAAAAATACATTTAAAAACAGAAAGTCAAAGAAAGTAAGAAAGTTAACTCTATGTTGTTTTTTTGCAGACAGCTCTGATATTTTCACAAAGTGAAAATGAATTCGAAAATGGAAGTTTCATAATGTAGGAGTAATAAATGATGAATGAGGAAGACTATATGTTCGACCTAAATATTACTATACAGTATATTATGTTATGATAGTGTGTGGTTCATGGCAAAAGTACTGCATACAGATAACAAGAAAAGCAAAGTGAAGTTTCTAAAATTGAATGTATGCTAGTTTAGATGGCCTGAAAAAGATGAAACTGTGATCTCATCCATTTGATTTAGTTAGATCATAAAGATTTAAATAATATGAAAGAAAAATATAAAAGTTTGAAGAAATAGGGAATACCTTGCAATAGTTCACAATAATCACAATGGTTTGCAATATCTAGAAGAAGGGGACGCTATTGTTCGTTTCAGTTTCAATCGTGAACTGTATGTATGGGTCCATAGAGTTGTAAAATTTAAAAATGCTTAAAGCATTGTTTGATTCTATTTCTGGAATTGTTGTGCCTAGATCATCCTCCTGATGAAGACATAAATAAATGTCGAAATATAGAGGTTTTTTTTTCAAGAATAAAGTGAGGTTTCAACTTCTTGACCTACTACAGACCAAATTTTCAAAAAAAAAAACCTGCTCTATTTTAGGTATAAGTATATATTTCTACTGAGTTTCTTTTTTCTTTTATAGTTACTATTGGATTCTATACTGTATAGTTGGGCGGTCATTAGCAAGGCCAGGGCTACCCCCGGGGCTACCAACCACTGATTGGAGAATCGTTTATAGGTATCATAATTGTATTGTAGGTATTAGATAATGTGATAAGAAAGTTATTTTCAATAAAAACAAGATTAAGGTACAGATAAGAGTGAAATAGTTAGTTAAATTTGAAGATTGACTTATGTGATATTGGAATTAGAGAAAATACGTATAATCTAAATTGGAAAACTATATTTTCAACCAATCTAATCAAATCATTTAGGTTATATATTAGAATTACGTAGGTACATTATAAATTATGAAGCAAGCCATCTCTAGAACTTTGCATCCAAGTCAACAACAACATCCCTACAGCAGCTTTTGTTAAATTTTCTTGGGCTTGAGTTTAAAACGAAGTGGAAATAGGTAGGTACTTACCTTCTGTGCAATTAGCCAATTGGCATTTTTCTAAACACCTTTGATAATAGGGAGAGCGATCTCCAACAGAAGCTCCAGAAATCTCGATTGAAATGTAGAGAATGAAAAGGTGTTTCAGAAACATATCAGTAATTTCCTTGTCATGTACTTGTTTTAATAAAAATGAACTTTTGTTTTTGGCTACCTTCTTGTCCTTTTTTTTTAAAAATAACAGCAAACCGAATCCGAAACCATGCTAAGAGCAAACCTAACCTAACCAACAGAGCCGCTTTCCAGCTGACAATACACCTTTTCACGTCGCTCCGGTTTAAACTAACCGGGTTACAAAGGGCGCTTTCTTTTATTCTACTTTTATTCAGCGGTGAATCCATCAGTAATCAGCCTTTCTTTGTCTAGCTCATAGAAAATAAGAATGTCTGTCTTATAATGCTGGCAGCAGATGGATCCAATAGTTGTATTCCTTTCAAAGGTTTGAAACACTCGAGCTACTCGTTCCGGTGTTTATTCGCCCCCGATTTGCAGGGAACAGATGCGTAGTGCAACAAACAATTTTCGAAAGGAATAAGCACGTGAAGCCCCGGAGCTGTTCCGGAGCTCCTCCTAGGTGTGAAAGGAATACAACAATTGCTGAATAAAAGAACGCGCCCAAAACGGTTACGGGCGGTATGTCAAAAAGGCGATTTTCAGCCTGGAATGATTATTTAGCGGTAAATACCGTGGTTATTCTTTTGGTTGACAACTTTGACAGCCAAGTGTGATGTCATAGCCCCCCACCATTCAAGAATCATAACCCAAGGAACTGACCGCTGAAATGATTTGGTTATAGCAGTGTAGGATTAGGTTTATTGTTCTTATTTGTTTTTTCGTTTCAACAATAGTTTTTTGTTTAGGTACAAAAAATGGAGTTGATATCTCGTTAGTCTCGTTTATCGAACAGATTTTCTTTGGGGATGATCTAAACCTCGATCTAAACATGGTGAATTGCAGTGAGTGAGTGAATGTTTACTTCTTTCATTGTGCCAGGCTACAACGCAACTGCAAAATCACAAAACACCAATACAAATTTCAAAAATAATAACAATAACATCAAAAAGCTTTAACCAAAAGATTAACCCAAGTCCAAAGCTGGGTTATAATCGGTTATAAGTGGTAAATACCAAAAGCAAATCAGCTGATATGTGACGTCACAACTTCCCCTACTTTGGTTAAAACCGCGACGGCGGAAATGCATTGGTTATAACCAAATATTAATCATTCCAGGCTGAAAATCGCCTTAATATGTGGAGAAATAGGGGAAGCAAGTTTTTTTTTCTTCAAAATTGTGGAGTTATCCTATATTTCATTCCTTTTTATTACAGCAAGCTAAAAAGTGAAAAATAGGTAGTTTAATTTCTCTTCGTTCAATGCTTCAGCTTCAGATGTGGACCATGGGTGGATAGACCTACTAGAACCAGTTTATCGAAAGTTTATAAGTTCTCGTTACCTCTACAGCCTACAACAGCCCATCAAGTAGGTAAACTGGGATTGTCTCTGGTACATCTTTTGAGTATAATATGTGTGATTTACGTAAAGTAGTCCATGCATTACCAGGTAGATTAGGTGGTATTATTTATGCTAATCCACCTGCAAACTGAACAATTTCTAATGCACGGGCTACGTAAATCAGGCTGTATACAAGGGAAAACGGCTTTCGGGCTTGAAATTCATAAAATATGATAATATATACAACTTTTTATTTAGTTTTTACACTTTTCCGAACTTTCCCGCTCTCCGTTGTTTATTTTTTTCCTCTAACCGCTTGGCGTAACCATATCGCCGAGGCGGTTAGAGAAATGACATACCGTTTTCTAACCCGGTTACAAAGTGACATCTTTGACACCACTCGAATTTGAGTGGTATGTTGCGGTTTGGTAAACCGGAGCCACGTGAAAAGGGCTATTGTGTTTGTGCTTCAAGCACGGTGCAACAACAGTGTTTGAAACGCAAAAGTTAGCAGCTCTCAAAGCGCAGTACGGCTTGAATACGAATACGCGCTTGAAGCATTTGCGCGCGCAAAAGCTCGATTGCGTACTCAAAATGGTCAGCTGAAATGCGGCTCAAAACAGTGAATATTAATCAAGGATACACACTACCATAGAATAATTGCTTATCGGCCTCGTTTTTTGTAATCGCCACCATATTGGTGTATCATCATTTCCGACGTCATTGAAAAGTCGTCAGTTGGCCGGGGATTCGACACACGACTCGACAACAAGACGATTTTTCCTACTCGGATCCTAGGTTGGAATGTCATTGTTGGAATCATACCTTTCGACACGACAGGCCGGTGTCGAGTTGCGTCTCGTTAGTCTCGTTGTCGAGTCGTGTGTGTCGAATTGTCATTTTAGAATCTCCGTACTGTTTGCACTAGAGGTCGTAGATTAGAATTTATATTCAAGATGAAAAATATTATTTAATTTTGATTAACAAAATAGGCAAAGAGGAAGATGAAAAATGTAATAAAACAAAGTATGCATAAAGCAAAAGCCCGCGAAATTATAACCTGTAGTGCAAACAGCACAAGGATGATACACACTACTACTACAGATAGCCTATCCTCATTAAGGCCTGTATGTAACCGATCCACCCTGTCCCCCCACAACCCCTAGCCAAATCACCAGTTGTGACGTAGCGGCATGTTATTTCTCGCCTTGACGTAGGCTGTTCAAACAGCTGACAGGCTGTTCAAACAGCTGACGACCAAGTTATGACGTCGGAAATGATGACACACCAATATGGCGGCGATTACCAAAAACCAGGCCGATAAGCAATCCTTAATAGTGTGTATTATCCTTGAACCTAACTAACTAGTATATAGGGCAAGCGAATCAATATTGGTCTTGGGCAAACAATGAAATTGGTGCCATAAGGATTTCATTTACCTTTTCCTTGCGTTCGGTATTTTCCTCAAAGAGCCGAGCGTGCAGAGCAGATCCGTAATCACGTGACCAGCGAGCGCACAGAGCAGTTAAGGGCTTCATACACTACGTTCTTTCTCGTCGGTTTTTATCGCCGCGATGAAACACGTCGTTCCAAAACCGAAGTGTGTGGTAGAAAAACACGACGGTTTTCTACTACACACTTCGGTTTTGGAACGACGTGTTTCATCGTGACGATGAAAACCGACAAGAAAGAACGTATGGGGCCCTTTAAACGCTGTATCAATGGGCTCGAAATTTTAATAAACGAACTCCGCACCGAGTATACTTTTTAAATAAACGAACGGTAAATTTATGCTTGGAGAACTCAGATCAAAATACCGAACGCACGGCTAGACAACCAAACAAGAAAATGAAAGAACTAGTAAAAACTAACCAAAAAACTTGGGTAGTTCTGCCTTTTTGCGGATGACCGAAAAAAGGCATGATAAGCTCTAAGACAAATCGTGTTTCAACGTTAAAAACCTATGTTTTGTCTCTCCAGGAGGAACAACATAAAACGAGACTTTTTCACCAATCACGTCACGATAAGATAAGAACGGCTTCCGCCACAACTACAATACCGCAGACATTTTTCAAAAAATAAATGCTTCACACCAATAAAAACAGAAACACATCACGGTTGACAGATGTTGGACCTATGTCGCCATATTTAATCTATTTTTTTATTGCCTTATGGCCGTTTGCACCGAAAATTTTAAGGAAGGTTTAACGATAATCAAGGCTTAAAGTGACATTTGTGCATGTAAAAATGTACTTCAAGCGTTGATTATCTTTAAACCTCCCTTAAAATCGACGGTGCAAACGGCAATTATTCTGTTTTTTTATTATTTATTTATTATTTTCATTTTCTGATCATCGTCTGATTCTTCCGAAGACTCCTCAAGTGCATAAATCATATTTACAGCAATAACCAATGGAAATAGAACGAAAAAACCAACACCCCACCACTTTTACTGGATTAGAGTAGCTTCCCATAAATCCCATATGCAGCAAACACAGTACTAACCGTGCGTTCGTTATTTTGGTCTGAGTTCTCCGAGCTTGACTTTACCGTTCGTTTATTCAAAAAGTGTACTCGGTGTATCCTCATTCGCGTTCGTTTATTAAAATTTCTGGCACTTTTATACAGGGTTCAACTGCTCTGTTCGCTCGCTGGTCACGTGGTTACGGCTCCGCTCTGCACGCTCTGCTCTTCGAGCAAAATACCGAACGCAAGGTAAATTAGTGACGTGTTGGTGACGTCATAAGTCTCAGTATTCAGTGCACTGAATTTTAATTTTGGAACACTTCCTAGCGAATACATAACTGACAGGTAAAAAAAGAACACAGCCTTTGACTATTAAACCCAATGAACTATAACCAAAAACTGGAATGCGAACACATATGGCGAACGTGAGGCCTAGTGCGGCTGCTGCGGAGGGGATACCTGTTTTTGTCGCACTCATTATGTTAAATGGCGAAAATTGCTTCCAACACGTATTCCAATTGATGAAACCTGTGAAGGGAAATATGACAAAACTTTCGAAAACGTCATATGCCAGCGAGCAACAGAAAAAAACAACATTCCCCCTTGTGGCATCTGTCTTTCATGGCTTCATTTTTTTGGCAGATATGGCAATGTGTGCGCATTCCAGTTTTTAGCTATAGTTCATTGATTAAACCACAGTGGCGACAATTGACCATTGCCGTCTCATTTTTGATTGGTTCTTCAAAATCCTATTTCATATGGAAAACGCCGCCATTTTGTGCTCTACCTATTGCTACTTCCAAATATGAATATTCCTTGCGTTCGGTATTTTGCTTAAAGAGCAGAGCGTACTAAGCGGAGCCGTAATCACGTGACCAGCGAAGCGAGCGAATAGAGCAGGGCCGAGTTCAAAATTAACGCACAGGGTGCGAGTGCGATTTTATGGGTGTGCCTGAATTGACAATTGGCCATTGGGACCCATGGCACCGTCTAGCATTTTTGAACAGCTAGGGCGTTGCACCGGTGTCACACTCACACTGGGTGTGTATTCCTGAACTCGCCCCAGTTGAACTCAGAGTGCCTGAAATTTTAATAAACGAACGCGAATGAGCCTGTACCGAGTACACTTTTTAAATAAACGAACGGTAATTTCAAGCTCGGAGAACTCAGACCAAAATACCGAACGCACGGATTATAGGATTTTATGACATCCAGCATAAGAAATTGAAAACAACGTCGTAGAATAAGATTACAACGTATTTGATGTACCTTATACGTTGTTTTCAATTTTTTATGGTAGATGTCCATTTAAATCCCATATATTCATATTTATGAGCAAGAGGTAGGGCACAAAATGTCGGCGGGACCCCGAATAGTTGTATTCCTTTCACACCTAGGAGAAGCTCCGGAACAGCTCCGGGGCTTCACGCGCTTATTACTTTCGAAAAGTGTTTGTTGCACCACGCATCTCTTTCCTGCAAATCGGGAGCTACTAAACACTGGAGCGAGTAGCTCGAGTGTTTCAAACTCTTGAAAGGAATACAACTATTGTCACCACTGTTTGTGGCAACATGTATTTCGCAGACAAAAAGTTTTTTTCTTTATATTCGCCAAACGCAATCGTTTGGTGTTCCTTTGGTGGTCTTTGGTATCTTACTTTCACTATTTGGTGGTAAAATCTTCGACAGTAATCAAGAATTCAAAATTTCATAGATGGACATCCATCATAAACAACGTATTTGATGTACCTATACTAATAGACACCAAATAGGTACGTTGTTTTCAATTTTTTATGATAGATGTACAGTCACTCTCTCACTCTATTAAACCACAGTGGCGACAATAATTATTGCTGTCTTATTTTTGATTGCTTCTTTAAAATCCTATATATTCTTATGGAAAGCGTCGCCAATTTGTGCCCACCCTTTGATAAATTTGAATATGAATACATAATATAGGATTTAAATGGACATCCATCGTGAAAAACTGAAAACAACGTATTTGATGACTACTACTATGGGTACATCAAATGCGTTTTTGAAGTGAATACTTCTTTGGCCGCAGGAGAGTGATTTTTCAAGGTCGCGTCACGACACGATTTATAAAATTTTTGTCTCGCAAGTGAGATGAAGCATATGATGAATATGAGGGAGAGAGCTGAGAAAGAGATGGTGAATGAAAGAGAGTATTGTTCTTAACGCATTAATGTAATATGTACAATACATCTCTCACTCACTCACCCTCAACAAATCGATAAATAAGTATTCACTTCTATCACGTGTACTGTGCTGCACGCGACTTTTTTTTTCAATTTCTTATGATGGATGTCCATTTAAATCCTATCAATTCATATTCAAATTTACCAATGGGTGGGCACAAAATGGCGGCGGGACCTCTATTATCGCCACTATTTGTAAAGGTTTATTTAGACACCGTAAGCAACAATACAGTGACTCTATAACCCACAGTGGCGACAATTGCTGTCTCATTTTTGATTGGTTCTAAAATCCCATATATTTCTATTAAAAACGCTGCCACCTTGTTCCCAACCCCTTATTACTTTTAAATATGAATATATGGGATTTAGGTGAACATCCATCATAAATCATGGAAAACAACGTATTTGATGGACCTAATAATGGTCATCAAATACGTCGATTTCAATTTTTTATGATAGATGTCCATTTAAATCCTATATACTAATATTTAAAAGTAACAAGAGGTTGGGAACAAGATGGCGGCGGGACCTCTATTGTCGCAACCAATGAACTATAGCTAAAAACTGGAATGCGCACACATTAGTTGTATTCCTTTCAAGAGCTTGAAACACTCGAGCTACTCGCTTCGGTGCTTAGTCGCCCCCGATTTGCAGGGAACATATGCGTAGTGCAACAAACACTTTTCGAAAGGAATAGGCTCGTGAAGCCCCGGAGCTGTTCCGGAGCTCCTCCTAATAGGTGTGAAAGGAATACAACTATTGCCATATCTCCCAAAAAAAAAGTAGCCATGAAAGATAGATGCCACAAAGGGGAATGTTGTTTTTTTCTGTTGCTTGCTGACATACGACGTTTTCGAAAGTTTTGTCATATTTCCCTTCACAGGTTTCATCAATTGGAATACGTGTTGGAAGCAATTTTCGCCATTTAACATAATGAGTGCGACAAAAACAGGTATCCCCTCCGCAGCAGCCGCACTAGACTTCAAGTTCGTCCTTATGTGTTAGCATTCCAGTTTTTGGTTATAGTTCATTGGTCGCCACTGTATGAAAAGGTTTATTTAGCCACTGTAAGCAACAATACAGTGAGTCTATAACCCACAGTGGCGACAATTGCTGTCTTATTTTTGATTGGTTCAAAAATCCCATATATTTATATTGAAAACGCCGCCATCTTGTTCCCAACCCCTTGTTACTTTTAAATATGAATATATGGGATTAAGGTGAACATCCATCAAAAACATGGAAAACAACGTATTTGATGGACCTAATAATGGTCATCAAATACGTCGATTCCAATTTTTTATGATAGATGTCCATTTAACTCCTATATATTAATATTTAAAAGTAACAAGAGGATGGGAACAAGATGGCGGCGGGACCTCTATTGTCGCCACTGTATGTAAAGGTTTATTTAGCCACTGTAAGCAACAACAGTGTTTTGCGCCATCTATGAATGCATATCAAAATTTTTGGATATCGCTAGAGCTTTCGATATCACAGCACAGATGGCCCAGCAATAGTAAATTCCGGTAAAATTCCGCTTTGTCGAGCATCGCCATCTTCGAGCTGTTTTGTAATTTCTAAATTCAACCATCCACCAGAAAATCGCAAAACCGTTCGGAGGAGAGATGTGTGATGTGTTTGTGGCAAGCGAGAACCATAGTACAGTATATTTAGAATGCATTTTCCAATAAAATTAGACTCATATTATTTATTGTAGAATTGTGTAGCGTGACCGCGCCAAAAGTGTATGTGATTTTCTGTGAAACGTTTTTTTTTTTTTTTTTATCGGGTATGGATTTTGCTTGGTATTGCTTGGAACAGTTGGAACAGCTGTGACCTAACGTTTTGTTTTGGTGAGTAATAACAGTAATTTTGGTTATGTGGTTCTCTGGGGGTTTTCTTTATTATTTATGTTTAAGCAACCAAATATGTAATTGGAGAAAACGGCTTATTTTGTATAAAATAAATGGAAACATTTTACCAAGTTTATTTGATAGGTATACGGATTTTAATGTGTTTTTTTGTGATAGCAATCTCTTAATAAATTGTTTTTGTTCACAAGAGCTCTTGTATTGTTTTTGTTATGAAAATATTTCAGAAATGCTGGTTAAATTATCAAGAAGTTCATAGAAATGATATTTTACCTTTCTGCTCGCCTTTCTGTGTTTTGGACACTGAACAGCCAATAATAGACTACCAATTTAAGGGCATTGCTTCTAAAACTGCAATAAAACACTAGGAAGCAAACTAAAAGGATGTGTTCGTTTTGGTTAGTTACTCATAAGGTATACTTAGCTAGTTTCATCAGTATCTAATCTGATGGCAAAAATTATTGCAAAGTTACATTCCTTATGTAGTTTTGTTTGTATGCAATGATTCTCATTGCAAATCTTGGCAAATAACATTTGTACTCTTGTTTTTATGTAGTTTTCATTGATAAGTTTATTGGTACATAGTTATTATTAACTCCATACAAGGCACCATTAACAACCCAGCCAACAACCTTACTTAACTGGACTGTCTGTGAAATAACCAGACAACAATTTAACATTAGCAAAACAGACTGCAAAATTCATAAATTTAAAAAAAAAACTTTAATGTCCTAAGTAAGTATAATATTATAAGGTTTGCACCTTGGTTTCCACTGAGAAAGCACCAAGAAAATAATATTTAAAGATGATTGAGCAACTTAAGTATAGGCTTAAGAAAGATAGGTAATTCATACTTGATATTAAATACCTAATAAATAATAATAAAAATTGGGCACCTTCAGGCCTGTAGGTCCCCACCTTAGTAGGGACCCTAACTTGTAGTAGGTACCCTCAACTTTTTCATGAGTGGCTTTTTTGGAAAGAGTTCCATAATGAGGAAGTTGCATAAAATTTTATTTTTATGGAAAATGTATTTAAGGTAAAGCAAAATACTCTAGAGGTATATTTCTATATTTAAATCCTCTTTATACTGAACCACTAATAAATAATTAATTATTCAAATATTGAATATAACAAAGGGCGCGAAAACGCTCTAAAATAGGTTATGACGTCATCGAAAGATTAGGCATTTCAGGTCACGTGACTTTTGACAGGTCCGCCATATTAGCTGAGGGGCAAACAAAGCCTATAGATCATTGTTTACAATGTTTTTTGAGTTTGTGATTTGGAATTTTTGCGTTTTTTGATTTATTCAATACATTTTAAGTTGTTTTTAGTTTTTGTGAATGAATGGAATGAATGAATGAATCTTTATTTACAGATAGCGTTGCCAGACCTCCTATTTTCAATATGAGACTCATATATTTGAACTGTTTCTCATACCTCATATTAGCATGTTTGATATGAGACTATTTCTCATATATATTTTCATCAAAAAAAAAAAGAAATCATGTATATCACTTTATCACTACCATACACGTGATAGGCCAGAGCGTTCATTACTCCCATGCGTTCGTTTTCCGACAGTCCATTGTACGAGGGAGCTCCTATTGGCTGTTTTTCCCGCCACATTTTATCCGAATATTTTCAACTTTTCTCCTACTTCGGACAAAGTTGAAATGAAATAATTTTAACTTCTTCCGTTTTTGGATCGTTTTTCTTTCACCTTACTTTTTGACTCACTGATGGTGAACAGTAAAATGCTCGGTAAAATGTAAACAAAAAAATAAACCAATTCCTAATTTGCGTTTTAAGCTTAAACTGGTTGATAATGGATCTTCAAATTCAAATATTTTACTTTTAAAAAAGTAAAAACAGAAAAAAAAAACTATTTTGGGTCAGGGATTTGCAAACATCAAAAAACTGAAGTTGTTGTGTTGTTGTCCACAACTTGTTACAAGAAGTGAGACTGACTGATCAAAAGTTGTATTCCTTTCACACCTAGGACGAGCTCCGGGGCTTCACGCGCTTATTCCTTTCGAAAAGTGTTTGTTGCACCACGCATCTGTTCCCTGCAAATCGGGGGCGACTGAGCACCGGAGCGAGTAGCTCGAGTGCTTCAAACTCTTGAAAGGAATACAACTAAATCAGGAGGAGTCTTTAACTACCTAAAAGAATGTCCAGCAATACAATCCAAGATCTGCTAGAAGTCATAGCTAATTGTCAAGATGGGAGCTTTCCAGGATATGAGTATTTTGCAATAGATAAAATATTCTCATATATTATTATCCAATCTCATATAATTTTATACAGGCTCTCCTATTTTCAAAACTCAAATATCTGGCAACCCTATTTACAGACATGCCACTTTACATTTCAATTCAACAATAGTAAACAAACAATTTATTAACAAAAATAATGCTTAAGAATCTAAATTGTTTAAAAAATAAAAAAGTTTGATACTAACAACCTTACAAATAAACTTTAGCAAAATAAATTTGTGGTAGAATGACTCCTCAAAACGTTTTGACTGTTCTGATCGGTGCACAGATCTGGCATGTAGCTTAGCTTACTGGCTTGTTCATTCTGGGCTTCTATCAATTATCGTAGTATATCCTAAATTTGTACTGGGGACCCAATCCGGATTGTTTGTATCCTTAAATTCTGCTGGACTACCTAAAAGGTATTAAAAGTTACCTATATACTTGTAGAAACATAAACAACTTTTTTGATGTACCGAGATGAAGACAGTCATAAAACTTACCATTAACAAAATGTTTCGAACTAATTCGAGCATTTTTAACGTTACAGGCAAATCTCCCCTATTGAGGCATCTAATTCACATACTCCGTTGTTTTTTTGATAGCTCATTCATGCGATCCCCTCGATCTTTAAATGCTGCTGGAATCCTGAAAAACCTCACTTTATCCCTTTCAGCTCTATTGGAGCACCCAAAAACGCCACAAAACGAAGGCATCTTCACAAAATAATACTTCAAAAATTCTCGGTTTGCATTGAAAACAACATTAAATCAGGTTATGTTTGGCTTTTGTTTGCCCCTCAGCTAAAATGGCGGATCGGGCATGAGGTCAACCTGAAATGCCTAATTAGGCATTCCAGATTACAAAAACACTTCATCTCGCTACATCAAAAAAGTTGTTTATGTTTCTACAAGTATATAGGTAACTTTTAATACCTTTTAGGTAGTCCAGCAGAATTTAAGGATACAAACAATCCGGATTGGGTCCCCAGTACAAATTTAGGATATACTACGATAATTGATAGAAGCCCAGAATGAACAAGCCAGTAAGCTAAGCTACATGCCAGATCTGTGCACCGATCAGAACAGTCAAAACGTTTTGAGGAGTCATTCTACCACAAATTTATTTTGCTAAAGTTTATTTGTAAGGTTGTTAGTATCAAACTTTTTTATTTTTTAAACAATTTAGATTCTTAAGCATTATTTTTGTTAATAAATTGTTTGTTTACTATTGTTGAATTGAAATGTAAAGTGGCATGTCTGTAAATAAAGATTCATTCATTCATTCCATTCATTCACAAAAACTAAAAACAACTTAAAATTTATCGAATAAATCAAAAAACGCAAAAATTCCAAAGCACAAACTCAAAAAACATTGTAAACAATGATCTATAGGCTTTGTTTGCCCCTCAGCTAATATGGCGGACCTGTCAAAAGTCACGTGACCTGGAATGCCTAATAAACAAACAAAAGTGTGGTTATGTTAACGTGGATCCACCGTTAGGCAATCTAAACCAGGTGACACTCAAGATGGTGTGGCGGTCACACATGGGCCAAAAAACACAAAAAAATATGGGAGTGAATCCTACGCCTACCGGTAGGTCTTTTGTTATCCAACGGTCGTACGCCTACCAGTAGGTCCTTTTTCATCCACCGATTGTGCGCCTACTGGTGGGTAGGTCCTTTTTCGTAAATTGATCAAGCGCCTACTGGAGGTGTTTTTTTACTTTAGAATCCGTATATCCTACCAACCAGTCAGCTCTTGCTAGCTAAATGCGTTACCTTATACATTTTTGTTTGTTTGCAAAATTGTCATTAAGAAATTCGTCCACTGGGTGATAAGCCTTTATTAGTACCTAACATATTTCTAATTTGGACTTTAAACTTGTTGATGTTTGAAATCTGCGTCATTTTAGACGGCAACCTATTGAAAATCCTTCTGCGTACACCTTGAAATTATTTTTGAGTTTCCGATTGCTCGCTATGCTGGCTAAACCTCGAAGAGAGGATCCTCGGGAGAGCAAATCCATCAAAAACGTGAAAACCCTTTTTCAAATATATCACCTTCTTGTTCAAAATATTTTTGAGTCTGCGATTGCTCGCTCTGCTTGCCGGTGAGTCCACCAAAAACGTGAAAAACCTTTATTAAATAAGTATAACCCCTTGAAATTTTAAATATTTTTGAGCCTCTGGATTGCTCGCTGCGCTCGCCAAACTTCAAAGAGAAGATTCTCGGAAGCTTAAATCCACCAAAAACATGGAAAACCTTTTTCAAATATATCACACATCGAACGTAAATGCACATATATATGCACAATAGGTAGGCGACGGATTCTTGAATTAATATGAACCTACTGGTAGGCTCAGGATTCTTTTTGCAAACAGTACCTACCGATAGGCGTTATATCATGTGGCAATTGAGGACCTACCATAATGTTTTAGCGTTATACATACGGTAGGCACGCAATCAATGAAACAAATGGGACCTACCGGTAGGCGCAGAATTCACTCCCAAAAAATATCTAGTTTCTGCCCGATTTAATAATTTAGGTACCTAGTCAACAAATATTGCATTAAATAATCAAAACCAAAGTTGCAAGCAAAACTCTAAGCGAAATAATTTGAAATACGCATAAAAACATATTCAAAACAAACTTGCTTGGCCGCCACGCCATATTGAATTTTCGTTTTTGACAGATGGAATGGATTGCCTAATTGTATG